GATATGCTGTAGCTTACTTAAGTTATCCTTAACTAAAACTCCCCCTAGAAGAAATACATTACCAATGGGCTTCTTAGTGGAGAATTGGATTCCGTGACTAAAGACCACATCCTCTGACTTGGCTTCCACCTGAAGTGTGTGTTTGCCAGATGCAGGCAACTCTTTTTAATCGATAACAATAGTAAAGTGAGCAGGTCCTCTGGGGACATGATTCATGGTGAGTCAGATGCACGTGGAGGCTAGATCCAGCTGTGAGGGCCTTTGTTTTTTTTTGTGTTTTGGTGGTTTTGTTGTTTTGTCGAGGGGCCTCCTCTGAGCTGGAGGCTAACTGTTGGTGGGATAGAAGTGGGCAGTGTAGACAGAGAGGTCATTCAGTGGCTGCACCCTTGTTGGGCACCAGCAGTTACAGTCACCAAGTCTGTGGTTGTCCCTGGCCCATATGTACACTGGTAACATCCTGCACCCCAGACCATGCTCTGCAGTTGGTAGCAGAGCCTAGAGGAGAAGGAAAGAAGAAATAGAGCCCAGGTACAGCCATGGGATCATCGGGGACCTCCCAGTACAAGGTCCTTCCTTGTATGCCTGCTAGCCCTTCAACCCTTGCAAAGCCCCGGTGGGCCCTATGCCTGGCTTGAGTCTTGGAAAAGTGTGTGGAGCTACTTTTCTGTGTCTTCATCCGCGTGCATGGGGCTGAGCTGCTGCGTCTTCTTTACTTCCCACCTCAGGGCTTTTTCCCGAACTTGAGAAAAAAAATGGCTTCTCTAGTTTGAATTTTTTTTTGAACCAATAACCTGTGCCCAAATACACAGAGACTTATTATTAATTGTGAATGCTTGACCTTAATTTAGGCATTCCCAGTAGTTCTTTTAACTTAATTTAACCTGTTTCTATTCATTTTTGTTTTGCCTCTGTACTTTTTACCTTTCTTTCATTTTGTATATCCTACTTTCCTGCTTAGTCCATGTCTGTCTGGCCTCTGGTGTCTCCCTGTTGTCTCTTATTTTTTCTTTTCCTTGAGTCTAAATTCCTCCTTCTACTTTCTTTCCTTGCCTGGAAGTCCCACCTCTACCTTCTCCCTTGCTATTGGCTGTTTAGCTTTCTGTTAGACCAGTCAAGTGCCTTAGTCAGGCAAGGTAAAACAGCAACACATCTTTACATAGTGAAACAAATGCAAGACATCTTTACATGGTTAAATATTCCACAACATCTCTCCTTTCACCTTATGGGTCTGGGGAATTGATCTTAGGTTGTCACACTTGGTAAGAAGTCCCTTTTAACCAATGACCCATCCTGACAACCACCAGTCACTTAACTTTTAACACTGTATTTTATTTCTCTTTTTAAGGTTTATTTTTATTTGTGTTATTTATATACTGTAAGGGATACAATTTTATAATCAGTAACCTAAATTGTTAGTGAGGGCTCTAACATCACATACTTCCAAAGACACATTTTAAGCTCTTTCATATATTGAAACTGTGCCTAGGATATGCATTTTTTTTTCAACTTCAAAGTAGTTCTCATTGTTGAAATCGAGTTTTAAAACCATGACACTCAACTGTGTGGAGCCTTACGTATGGCTTGGCTATAAACATATCTTATTATTCTGTCCATTCTTCTCAGCTTGCCTCATTTAGCTGTCCCTGCAGAACTACGTTGTTGCTGCTGTACATACTGTGTGCTTGTTTACTCATCCACTAAAATAGTCACTGAGTCCACAAGCCTTGCTGCTCTGCCCCCTGAAACAATGGTAAGCCCATGGTACTTACCAAATGTTCACTGAAGAAGTGGTGAGTAGAGTTGGTTCAGTTGGCAAAGTGCTTAGGTCACAGGCAGGACGACCTGAGTTCACGTTCTCAGTATCCACATGAAAATCTGGATATAGTAGTGTGCCTGGTGCGGGAAAATTGTCTGTATTCTGTCAATCATGTTTTAAATATATGCTGATTGGCCAGGCAAGAAGTATAGGTGGGTCAACCAAACAGGAAATAGTGGCGGGGCGATGAGAACAGGAGTATTCTGGGAAGCAGGAAGCTCCCTCTGCAGTCCAGCCCAGACACCAAAGAAGCAGGATGTGACCTGCCCTGCTGAGAAGGTACCAAGTCATGTGACTAACATAGATAAGAATAATGTGTTAATATAAGCTACAAGATCTAATAATTTAGCCTGAGCTAATGGGCCAATCAGTTTTATAACTTATGGAGATCTCTGTGTGAATTTCTTTGGGACTTGCTGGTTGTGGGGTACCGGGCAGGACATAGACCCCAACAAGCCAGCCCCTCATGTTACATGTGCCCTGTAAACCCAGCACTGAATTACATGCAGGAGAGACAGGAGATCCTGGGCCTCACTGAGCAGCCAGTCTCACTGAATTGATGAACTCTGGTTTCAGTAACAGCCTGTGTCTCAGAATCTTACAGTAGAAAAGCAATTAAGAAAGACACTTGAGACAGGCAGTGGTGGTACACACCTTTAATCCCAGCACTCAGGAAATAGAGGCAGGAGGATCTCCATGAGTTTGAGACCAGCCTGGTCTATAGTATGAGTTCAAGGACAGCCAGGACTGTTATGCTGTGAAAACCTGTTTCTAGAAAAGTCAAAAAAAAGAAAAGAAAAAAAAAAGAAAAGAAAGATGCTTGATATCATCCAATGAACATACACCTGCACACACGTGTGCATGTCTACGAATAACTGTACATTGTACACATATGAATGAATGAGTTTGTACTTACTCACAAAACCACACTTATCTATCATATGGAAAAACCAGGAATACTAGTGAGTTCGTTTCTTTACTTTATTTGACAGATTACATACAATCTGCACATACAACATATAATGTGCAAGGTACTATTTTGGAGGAAATCTTAGGATAAAATCCCTGGGCCAGGCAACGGGTCAGTGAGGACAGAGCTTGCTGCACAAGTATAAGAACTGAATTCACATCCCCAGAACTTATTTTTCAAGTTTTTTAAGCTTTTAATCACCATGGTAAAAAGGTAGAGATGAAAGGTGCCTGGGGCTTCCTGCCAGACAGCCTAGCTGACTTTGTGAGGTCCAGGTGCTGGAGAAAAACCCTGTCTCAAAAGACAAAGCAGAGAACCTGGAAACATCCTAAATGCCCCTCGACCGAAGAATGGATAAAGAAAATGTGGTACATTTACGCAATAGAGTACTACACAGTGGAAATTTTGAAAATAATGGCACCTTGAAATTTGAGAGCAAATGAATGGATCTAGAAAACATCATATTGAGTGAGGTAACCCAGGCACCGAAAGACAAATATTATGTGTACTCACTCAATAGTGGCTTTTAGACATAAAGCAAAGAAAACCAGCTTACAATTCACAATTCCAGAGAACGTAGACAACAAAGAGGACCCTAAGAGAGACATACATGGATCTAATCTACACAGGACATAGAAAAAGACAAGATCTTCCGAGTAAATTGGGAGCATGGGGACCATAGGAAAGGGTAGGAGGAGAGAGGAAGGGAGGGGAGTGGAGAAAAATGTAGAACTCAATTAAAACAACAATGAAGAAAATGACAAGGCAGGGCCTGAGAAATGCTATCTGAGGGTGACCTCTGGCAAGCCCATGGTAGGTGCACATACATGTGCATACACATGTACCCGCAGACACACAACAGAGAAAAAGAGTACAGAACCCCAACAAAGTGACAGCTGGAAGGGACATCTTTCATGTCATGTCCCAAGAGACCCGGCAATTGGTCCTGGAGCAGGCATCCCTGAGAACTTGTTTGAGCAACCCTATCTATTATGCTGTGTATGTCCTTCACATTTTAAAAATCCTCCTCCCAAGTACAGTGCTAGCACAGCCTAAATCAGTCCTTTGTACAATGTGCATACCTGATGCTCATTAATAAGCCTTTGTTCTGATCTCCCCTGTGCAGCCCAGCTCCAGTTACTGCCGGTTCTTACCCAGGACATTTCCAACCATCTCTTCGGGCTCTTCCACACACATTTCTTAAAAGCTGGCTGTTCCATTGTTACCATCCCGGGGGAGTATCGACCGGGTTAGGTTTGCATTTGTGAGCTTATAACTGGAGCTGACACCGTCCTTACCACAATTAATAGTTCTTGGAAGAATTTGCCTTCTTAGCACTTTATAAACGGCTTCATACATCTAAGGGCAAGGCAGGTTTTAATTAGTGTCCCTAATAGCTAACTAAGCTGAGAGAAAATAATTAAGTGACTGCACCAGTCGAAGAGAGAAATGCAAGATGGTGTTAGAGTCCGCACAGGCTCAAGGTGGAAGAGGTTGTAACTTGTTTTGCGAGCAGTGTGTCTTAGTCTTCTCCTCCCACTGACCAGAAGTTACTGGTGGCTGGCAGACTCTGTTTCTATGTATAAAATGTCATGTGAACCACCCGGTGCTTCCTTCCTCCCCCCCCCACCCTGCTTGCCCCTCTTATTTTAATCCTGCTCACTCTATTTTATAAGCAAAGCGGTTGCCTGTGTGGGGAAGCCGTGAACCCCTCAGTCACGGTTTGCAGCTTGCTGGATGTACGCCGGCATAATCCTTCGGTGTCTTTGGATTACTATCCATGAGCAAGTTTTCCCAGCTTTTTGTTGTGAGAATGGGCTCCCTGCCAAGAAAGCACTCATCCCTGCTCTGGGCCCACCTGGTCCTTCCCTGGTGCCTCCTCCACTCCATGCCATTAGCAGGACTCGGCTCTGAATGTTTGCACAGTCTGCTCTGCAAGCAGAATCCAAAGCCTTTGCTCCATAGAGCAGCCAATGCCCACAGGATCCTGCTCAAAGTTAGTGTCAGGAAAGGAGATAGGGAAAGGGTCAGCATGCAAGGGGGCTTGCTGCCAAGTCTGAAGACCTGAGTTCAATTCCCAGAACCACATGGAGAGAACCTATTCACGGAAGTTGTTCTCTAACCTCGGCATGGCATGCTGTGGCATGCCTGTATACACACACACACACAATAAATTCAAATGTAGAAAAAAAAGACATAGGAAAGAGGAAAGCCTTTAATTATAGCCAGCTTGCTTTAATATTATCCAATTATATAAAATATATACATTTTCCAAAATACATATATAGGTATTACATAAAAATAAATGTATTTAAGCAAGTTTAAATAATAGCCAAAATCAGATCAGAGGATACAGGGGGAAAATAATATACCTACAAAGATTAATGTCTCTCCTCAGGCAGCTAAATTTAGAAGACAAGTTGAAAAGCCTACTTGGAACACCTAAACCGCTCCTATACTCCACATCAATTAAAGCTTTAACCCATTAAAAAAAAATGCTCACGGCCATTTACTGCCTGATTCTCTCTTCAATCCCTTCTTGGATTTCAAAGGGGTCTTTGTGACTGGGAAACAGAACAAGGCATTTGAGCTACACACACACACACACACACACACATACACACACACACACCTGTCAGTCATATCTAATACCCTGAGCATGTGTAAACTCCTTCATAGGCCTGGGACAGGAGCACCTTGCCATTTGATCTCCAATTTTAATCCTTTCTCAGTTAGATCTTAACAAGCATAAGCAGACAATCTGGAAAGCTGAGTTGTCCAAATAGCCTCTTTCAGATCGGAGACCCAGACCCAAAGGACTTAAGGACCAAAGACTGACATTCTTTGCACGGACAACTACCCAGAATTCATCGTGAATGTTAAATCTGTTTAAAATGTTGTGAAAATAAGAGATTTTAATGCACACTTTTCTCTTTCACATAAAGCACCAGGAGCTGGGATGTAAAAGATGTTTGAGAAGAGTGTTCACTTAGGAGCAAAACACTGGGGCGTTTCTCTGATAATGTTCTCCTCTATCCATGGAAGGTATTCCAAAGATCCCCACAATGGATGCCTAAAATGGTGGACAATACCAAAACCTAACGGTATTTTCTTGCACATAGACACCATAAAGTTTGTAAATTAGCCAATCGTGGTGTTCAGACTGTATAGAATGCTTTCTTATTACTCTCATCCCCAGCCCCCCTCCTATCAATGTCTTTCTATGGCTTCCATCATTGTTATTGTTTGGTGACTAGGGTTGTGTAGCCCAGACTGGTCTTCAATTCCCTATGTGTTCGAAGATGACCTTGAACCCCTGATCCTGCTGCTTCTACCGCTCAAGTGCTGGGATGAAGATATATACCACAAGGTTCAAGGTTAATTGTTAGTTTTATTTCTGAGACCTCATGGGTTCTTTGCTCTGTGTACCCTGACTTCAGTTTTGCCACACGCAGCTGAAGTTGATCTGTTTTTCCCTTGTTTTAGCCTTGGTTCCTCCTTTGTACTTCCATGAGGCAGATCCTACTGGACACCTTCCAGGAAAGTCTAGTTTCATTGCAATTGAAGACTTTATCCTCTCTGTCCATCAGCTTCTTCAGCCTTGCCAGAGTAAGACAACAGCATCTTCATGGGAAGATACTGTCTCCGGTGATATAAACACGTATGTAGACAGGTAACTAGACAGACAGACATGGAGATAGATACATAAATAATGTCATACAACCCAGGCTGACTTTGAACTTGCTGTATACCCAGGAAGGACCTCAAAGTCCTGATCCTCCCGTCTCTTCCTCCAGAGTGCTGGAATGACAGACATGAGCACCATACCCCGTTTACATGATGCTGAGGGTGAAACCTGGGGACAGGCAAGCATTGCAGCTATATCCCCAGCCCTCTCCAATAAATTTTTTTACATTTTTTTTGGTTCAAACTCATTTCTGGATCTATATAATCATCTCCTATTGTAGTAAGTACCACGATGTCACTCATTTCAAGGGCTCCCTTGCTCAAGTCTTCATCTATACTTAATACTTTCTGGAATAACACATTGCTGTCAATCAGAAAGCATTTGCTATTCATGCCTTCCTTGAGCAATTTAATGTCCTTCTCTCTGAAGCACTTATTAAGCACTCACAGATGTAATTTTTGGCAGCTTGAGGCATGACAGTCAAACTGGCAGCTTTCTTTCTCTTTTGCAGTTTCTCAGGTAGAGAGGGGCTTCATTCTTACTGCAGGTTGTGGCCGCCTCAGCATACGGTCACTTTTATTCACTTATGAAGCCAGGATCTTGAAGGAAGCCCTTCACAGCTTCCCTTGTTCTGTCCAACTGCCATCAGTGACATCGGTGACATCATCAGTGCCAGCTTTTGTTGGGGGTTGCCTGAACCGAAGCGCTGTGAGACCATGACAGTGAACCTCATACCCCAAAACGGCCCCGTCTTTATTTCTTCTGTGGTTTCTATGACAAAATACTCTGGCAAAGCAGCTTCCAGGTAAACCCAAGGGTCTATTTGGGCTTACGGCTCTGAGTTATCGTCCATGATGTCAGGAACGTCAAGGATAAGGAACTTGGAGCATCTGGTTACATCACAACTCAGAGGAGAAGAAAGGATGCTTCCATACTGCTGCTCAGGCCCTGTCCCCACTCACACAGCCCAGGGTCCCTGTTCAGAGAGTGAATAGGCCCACAGTTAAGCCAAGCCTCCCATTATCAATTAAGGTAATCAATACAAGCCCCATAAGCATGGCCAGAAATGGGCCTCCAAGGTGATTGTAAATTTTGTCAGGTCGTGACAATAAACACAGCTTCACAGCTCCTCAGTGACTGATGAGTGACTAAAAACATTGTCTTTGTTGTTACTGATCTATTGCTGTGAAGAGATGCAATGACTAAGGCAACTTATAAAAGAAAGCATTTAGTCAGGTGGCTGTGGCTTACACCTTTAATCCCAGCAGAGAATTGGGAAGCAGAGGCAGGAGGAGTCCTGAGTTCAAGGTTAGCCTGGTCTAAAGAGTGAGCTTCTTCTTTAGACGGCTTCTTTAGACGGTAGCCAGGGCTACACAGAGAAACCCTGTCTCAAGAAAAAAAGAAAGGAAGGAAAGAAGAAAGGGAGAGAGGGAGGGAAGGAGGGAGGGAGGGTGGAAAGAAAGAAAATAAAGAAAGAAGAGAAGAAGGAGAAGGAGGAGGAAGAGAAGGAGAAGAAGAAGAAGAAGAAGAGGAGGAGGAGGAGGAGGAGCAAGAACAAGAAGAACAAGAAGGAGAGAGAGAGAGAGAGAGAGAGAGAGAGAGAGAGAGAGAGAGAGAGGAGAGCATTTAATTCGAAAGCTCATGGTCCCAGAAGATTAAAGTCTATGATCATCATGGCGGCAGGCCAGCAGACACAGCACCGGAGCAGTAACTAGGACTTTATGTCTTGAGACAACAGTCATGAGGTGAAGGCAGAAAGAGCAAAATGGCAATGTTGTGGGCTTTTGAAACCTTAAAGGCCATCCCCAGCAACACATATCCTCCAATAAGAAAAAGTCCAGAAATAAACTTTTTTAAATTTTATTTTTAGTTGTTTGCTATTCTGAGAAGTGTGGTGTGATCTCACAGCATTGTAGCCACAGTCCTGTTCTAAGAGAGACAGGACTGAAGACTTTAGGGGATGAGAAAGATGTTCTAGCTTCCAAAGAGAGACACAGACACTTGTACCCCTGCATCCTGAGAATGGAAGTTCTAAAGACAAGCAGAGGCTCAGGAGCCTTCCCGTCAGGTGAGACCAGGTAATCCGCCTTCCGCCAAGTGTGCTGTGTGACAGTTGTCGCGTGGCTGTCTCCGTCTCCTAAGTCTGGGCTGGAGACGCAGCTGAGCTAGGAGAGTGTCTTGTGTGCAAAAGTCGTGGTTCCCAACCCTAGCACATCATGGACCAGGGTGGTGGCCCATGCCTAGAATCCCAACTCTCAGGAATTGGAGGCAGGAGGAGAATTGGAATACTAAAACGTAGCAAAGGTGGTGTTTACCTTTCTAATAGTACCAGAAAAAAGGGTGTAGAGTCCAAAGTCAACTATGAGGGAGGGCTGCCCTCAATGGCCTCCAAGACTGTTAATCCCCTGAACAGAAGAGGCGTTCTTTTCTAAGCCCTCACCAGGAGATAATAGGAGAGGCAGGCCCAGCTAGTCTTGCCTTTTGGTTCTCCCCTCCTCCCAATGTTGTAGAAAACAGAGGTAAAAGGTCCCATAACCCATTTTCAAAAGCTAATATCCTCCTCACATGCAGAACATGGCTCGCCCAGTATAAACAAAGTAGTCTACATAGCACAGAACTTGGAGGAAAGTTAGGAAATGCCATGCCAGGCTGGGGCTGGAACTCACTTAGTAGAGGATTTGTTTAGCATTCACAGTGCCCTGGGTTTCACCCCATACATGATGGCACATGCCTGTAATCACAACATTCAAGGGGTGGAGACTGTAGAATCAGAAGTTCAAGATCATGTTCAGCTACTTAGTGGGTTTGAAGACAGTCTGAGCTACGTGAGACTTTATCTCAAAAAGGAGATGGGGGTGGGAGAAGAAAAGGAAGAGGAGGAGAAAGGGAAGAAGAGAAGGAGTAGCTACTGCCTTGCCATTTGGCAGTGGACAGTATATCTTATTTTAAGCATATATTTCGGACTAAGAGCCATATTTTTTATGGGAGTGGAGGGTGGCATCTAACACATGTGTGCACTGATAAGAACAGGAGACCAGCTTCCATTCACAGAAGTCTGCTTGGCTTGATAGGCACGCACACTCCCAAGTTTCACTTTGCATTTCCGGGTTCACCCAACCCTCAGACCCGATGCTGAAAGTCAAAGTGAAACCCCCTGTAAAGAAAACCACACTGATTTTTACCTGCCCTGACGCGACTGTTTTGAGAAACGCTAATCGTCCAATCAGGTCACCCCACACTCACCTGCGGAAGGTGTCAAACACCTCCATGGAAGTCTCACCTCCACGTGACCTGCCTCAGGAATGCTCCCCAACGCAGGAGCTTTACATAAAATCAAAACCTCTTTGCATAGCTAAAAAAAAAATGTTTTAAAAGAATCCTTGCTGGCAGCTAGGAATGTATTTCAGTTGGGAGATGCTTGCCTGACGTGCGTATAGTGTGGATTCCATTCCCCAGCACCCCGTAAACCAGCATGGTGGCACACACTTGTAATCTGAGCACCTGGGAAGCAGCCCCAAGTTCAAGTTCAGCTACATAGAAGAAATTCTAGTCCAGCCTGTGGAGGAGGCAGGGATCAAAAAAATGGAGTTATCCCCTGCTTGTCACTGGAAAAGATCACGTATTCACCTGTTCCAGTAACAAGTCTGATTTGAAATGCTGGCTTGAAAGTTTTCCATTCGTCCAAGGGCCACACTGGTCCGCCGTAGTCCGCAGCTGCTCAGTTCTGTCCCTAAAGCCATCATCAGCACACCAGGACCACATTCTTTCTGAGCTTTTCGTTGTTCACCCTGAAGGAGCAGGACCTGGGTCAGCCTCAGTCCAGGTCTTAGGAGGAAAGGAGCCAAGATGCTGGGAATGTACAAACAGCTCAGAAGAATGGGTCAGGTCAAGGTGTCAAGGTCAGGCTTGCAGAGTTAGAGCAAAATCCGGTGGGAACTGGTCTGTCAGGCAGGCTGGGGAAGAAGAAGTGGAAGTTGCAGAGAAGCAAGGCTGTTCTCCGTGCCCTGTGCTCTCTACCCTCTTCTGGCACCCCAGTTATGCAAGTGAGTTTTTACACCTCCAGCTCTGAGCGGAACCAAACAAAGCCTACAAACCAAACCCTGCACCGTAAAAGGAGTGCAGCGGGAACGCTGGAGGCTTCACCATCTATCTATCTATCTATCTATCTATCTATCTATCTATCTATCTATCTACCTATCTATCTACCTATCTATCTAGAACTAGCTCTTGTAGACCAGGCTGGCCTCGAACTCACAGAGATCCCCCTGCCTCTGCCTCCTGTGTGCTGGGATTAACAGCCTGCACCATCACTGCCCAGCTCATCCTATTTTTTAAAAGAAACTATAAACCCGAGTTTCCATTTCCCGGACATCACTGATTAAACTGGAGAGACCTAGCTGGGTGTGGTGGCACATGCCTATAATCTCAGCATTCAGGAGGTTCACCACCAGCCTGGGTTATGTGAGACTCCCACAAAATAGACAGCCTCAGGTGGGAATCCATGGAGATGAAGATGAGAACAGGGGACTGGCTTACTCCACTATGCTGTTATCTATTATTTGTCCCTGACTGGTGGCAATTGCTTGAGACCTCTCCCCGTCCCTGTCTGGAAGTGTTCAGTGTTCAGTTCAGACCATTTAAAACGTTCATCTCTGACCCTCGTTATCAAACCCAGGGCCTCATCGTGAAGAGCAGACACACATAACCACTGAGTTACATTACATTTTTTTCCAGTGTATGTGAGTGCATGTTCATATGTAAGCAGAAGCTCATGTATGTCCTTGTGTTTACATGTATGGGCTGGCCTGAGGTCAGCCTCAGGTGTCATTTTTCTGTAGCCCTCCACCGTGTGTTCAGAGCTGGGATCTCTCACCACTGGGATCCGGAGCTCGCTAGTTAAAGAGACCAGCTAGCCTGCAAGTTCTGAGGTTCTGTCTATCTCGACGTCCCCAGCACTGGGATTAGAAACATTCAAGCATATGCCACCACACACCGCTTCTTAATGCTGGTTTGTGGGCTCAATCTTGGGTGCTGATGTTTGCACGGCCGGTCCTTTACTCGGCAAGCCACTCCCCAGATCCCCATAGGATACTGTCAACCCCTGGAGGGTGTTCAGGGGTTAGAAGTCCTCAGGAGTGATTCCATCTCTTCCGTCTTCAGGAAGCCCCGCAGGATGTCACTCTGGTGCTCCGTGTGCCTACCCTTGCATGAAAGTAGGTGGTTCTTTTCTGGAATTATCTAAAATGTCTTCTGGGCGGGCTGTTTTCCCGCCCTTTTGCCTGTTTCGCAAAGTCATCTCTCCCTTTGCCTCCAAAGATATAACATGTGTGTTTTCAAGCTGCAAAGAAACCGTTGAAAATTAAACCACAAAACAGCGTTTTAATGAGAGCATTATTACCTAACACCCCACTGTGGTTTTAGATGGCTTCATGCCAACCTTCCAAACTGCTGTAAAAGAAGCCAGAAGTCCAGAGTCAAGAGAGAGACGGGTAGGGAGAGAATTTGAGAAGTTACATCCCCTTTGTGAAGGTAGCTTTCTTGGACGACCTCCAAATAGATCTTTCTAGAAGGTTGGAGGTTATTATTGGTGCCTATAGTTGAAGACAACTTTCTTCCTGTTTTGAAGTTTGAAAGAGAAAGAAAGGGGGGGCCACCCTTGAATTAGTACACGATGTCCTCAGAGGAGTGTTTTCAGCTCTGAAGTGGCTGTACCCAGCCCTGTCTATCTGCCTCATCACTTGCCCCCTGCATACCCAGTTGCCACTTCTGTAACCTAGGCTACAAGACCGCAAGTGTCCCTGTACAAGGTGAAAACTCCAACAGAGCAGAGCCGCTGGTCCTCCTTGGACGGCAACTGAATGCACTTGGTTCTGGGCACTAAGAAGAGGACAGAGGGGCTGGGGCTTCTCACAGAGGGTCATTTCTTAGAGACCATCTTGCCTTGGCCTCCAGCTAGCCCAGCAGTTAGGCCCTGAGGGCTGTGGTTTCATTTCCACATTGGGTTTCCTGACTTAACCCCTGAACCACCCTCGGCCGTCATCTTTCCACAAGTTCGGCGACAACCAGATGGCCCTCAGAGGCACCAGGGAAAGGGGTTGTTGGGGTGGGGATAACAGGCTGGTAGGTGCTGCAGCGGAATACCCCCATTCCACAGATGTGCAAATCAAGGCCCACAGGGAGTTTAGAGGTTCACCTGGAATCACACAGCAACTAGGTAGCAGAGAAAAAAAAAACAGATTCTGCCTTGATTTTCAGGATGTGGAGACTGCCCTATGCTACCCCTGTGTTCCTCTCAGTAACAGTCACTTAAATGACTCCTGCATACCCACAGCGTGACTGGGGAAAGTTGACCCTTCTTCTCTGCTGCCCTTCCTAGCCAAGTGCTGTTTGCGGAACTAAATAAGCAATGATAAGTCAAGAAATGAGCTAAACTCTTGTTTTCGAGGAGTTACAGTCATCATCATTGTTGCTTTGAGATAGAATTTCATATATCAAGGGTTCATATAGTCCAGGATGGCCTCAGACTCACTCTGTAGCCAAGGATGAGCCTTGATCTCCTGAACCTACTGTCTCAACCTCCAGAAATTTGGAATCACAGGCCTATGACACCACACCCAACTCTATGCAGTGCTGGGGACCTAATCTAGGGCTTCATACCTGCTAGGGGAGCTCCCTACCAGCTGAACTGTGTCTCCAGTCCCAAAGAGTTGTACTCTTAAAAGCAACAAAAACATGAACACATTCAGTGTAGAAACAAGCCCATGCAAAGCAGTATGTAAGAAAAGTACTTACTAGCATGATGCAATGAAAGGTAAGCTCTTGGGCCATGCAGATGGCTCGCTGGATACGGTGCCTGGTATACCACATCCTCACGTTGGACCTGACTAAGATCCTTAGCATCCATGGAAAAGCCAGGCCCAGAGTGCGATTGCTGGAACTCACTGTCCAGCCATCCTAACCCACTGACAGGAGCTTCAGGTTCAGTGACAAAGAAAGAAAGAGAAGGGGGAGAAGGAGAGAGAGAGAGAGAGAGAGAGAGAGAGAGAGAGAGAGAGAGAGAG